GTCAGAACCCTCGTGAGACAGATAGTTTTATCCTATATTGAATTTTCTCATTATCATAAAAACTTATACTTTCTTCTAAAGTCATAGTGCGAAATTGTTCGTGTGAAAGTCTAAATTCAGATCGAAAAATAGTATGTGACTACTGTGAAAGAAATGAGAAAATATAACGATTCATAAGATCTGAAAAATTGAAATTTTGCATGCAATCCTTAATATGCCAATATATATTATAATAGAATAATCAGACTCAAATTATGACTTTTAGAAGACCCTAGCGAAAAAACTTTTGAAGTGTCCCATGTAGTACATATACTAATGGATAGATGATCGTAGGCAATCGCTTGCCTACAATCATATCTACTTAGCAATAAATGTTTTAGCTTCGAGGAACATGACGGAGATGAGAATACTGAATTAAGAATAGCTACTTTTCGAATAACAACTTCGTATGAATTTACTTTCCTATCAATCAAAAAAAAAAATAATCTTAAATATATTGATTCTGCAAGTCTAGATCCAATAAAATAAAAAATCGATTGTACAGACTCTTTTTTGTTTTTGAAAATTCTTATCAACAATTGAATTTAAATAAATAACAAAAAAAAAATATTACTTTCTTTAAGATGATCTTTCCAAAGCAATACGTCTTATATCAAAATATATTAGTCGTGATTGGAATCGATTCTATTGGCAATTACCATTTTATCCTACACGTGGTCAAGAAGAAATATCCAAAGATATAAAATATATTGATGAAAAATATCAACGTGGAGATGTTTTTCAAGTAAATATTAATTTATATTTATTGATCATATAAATTTTATCTAGGATCAAGCAATCGACGCATTAAATAAATGGCGACGTTTTCATACACGTGCTAAAGTTGATGATCTTATACATGGACTTCAACAAATTCGTCGTTTTGATATTATTCAATTAATTGAACGACGTATACTTAAACCAAAACATTCATTAAATGTTGATCAAGAAGAAATTGATCCAAGAAAAAAAGAAATTGAAGATTTAAATCGAAAACTCAATAGATTATTTGATAAACTTCGATCAGGTGCTATCAATGCACATGACACGTATGTTTATTCAACAATGGGACTCGATTCATTGAGACCGGTTAGAAGATATTAACCTTTAGTTATGCACTTATTTACACTGATATACACATTTCTTATTTCATTCTTTGACACATAAAATCGAATGCACCATAATATTTCTCGCTTGATCATTATTAAAGAAAAAAAAATCAAAACAAAACAACTCATTAATTTTCTTCTTCTATTTTAGTCAACAAAATCGGCTAGTTTGAGTCGAGCAAGTCGTCTTAATTCTGTTCGTTCAAAATCAACTAATCTAGAAAGATCTCTAGATGGTAAAGAGTATCCATAATTACAAAGACATTAAATCAGGATTGATCAATATCTATGATTTGTAGTTTATTTTTTGCCTTGAATCAAGTGCATAATAAAATAAGAAATTTATTGTCAAAACAAGATGAAAGTCAATCTTTGATTTTCATTCTATTTCTTCACTAATGAATTCCTATTAACAATCTAAATATATTATCACAGCTACATGAATAAAAATTAGACAACATTTGTCAATTTAAACGATATGATTTTTGATAAATTAATTCATTCATTTCTGAGTGATTGTACAAGTTTATCTTTATAGGATGCTTTTAGTAAAAACAAAAAAGATAAAAGATTTCTATTTGATTGAAAACAAGTAAATACAATTCAGTTTATGTGACTTTTATAATATGAGAAAACATGCATATTTAATCCTAATAAAATAACAAGAATCTCCAAAATAAAACAATTAATCATTAGTCGAACAATTACTTGTTGGATAATCAAATAGAAAAAAAAACCTAGATAACCTTTCCGATTATCAAGAGATGAACGATAAGAATATCTAATTTGTTTCATCTACAAAGTAGATCATCAATAACGTTGTAATAAAAATTTGAAATAGTTCCGCTTTAGTTCATTTACATGCACTAAGTTTTTAGTTAGTGAAAATTTTTTTTCATATACAGATAATGTAAATAAATACTACTATGAAATGCTATTGTTGATCCCACTAAAGACAATTTTACCTGTTGTCAAATATAAAAACTATATGTTTAGTATGTTCCAAGGTAATTTTTATTTGTCACATAAGTGAATAGAAAGAAGAAATTACAACAAACTTTATCAATGATATTATTGTGATGAATATGGAGGAAATTTTCAGGGCTAGTTAGTTTAAATATTGAAATTCGTGTTCGATAACTAAAGTGCACAATTGAGGCTCTTTATGCACTAAATTGTTGACTTTCTTGCAAAAACTCGTGTTCAATATGTGAAAATTGAACATGTGCTCAATTATTTAGTTACATTGCCAGATTTTTCTGGAGGTAACCATCAATTTGTATAAGCCTTTGATAACTACGGCCAATCCTGAAAGTACATCGTTTAGCATTGATGAAATAGGTCTCTTTCAAAGTCGAAAAGGCCGAAATACATTATGTTTCTGTTTTGTGTCAGGCATCCAAATTCAACTATTTTTCACGTCCGCTATCAAAAATGATTTCATTCTTTGACATGCTCTATGAAACAATCTTCGACTGTCACCCAAACTAACAAAAACAAACACGATCGCATATATATTGAATACGACTCGTATATTTTCGTCCTATGTGTTAACAAGTTGAGTCTCGATACATGAATATCTCTATATAATGGAAAAAGAACCATACTGTGATAGTGAATCATAACGGAGTTCGTAATATCGTTTTCGCAGTAATCAATAAAAGCAGAAGAGAAAAGTTTTTGAATATACATTCAATTCGTTGGTTAAATGGTTTGAAAGAACTATTTGCATCATTCACAATACATTAGCTATGTCAATCTCAAGAGGATGAGTGTAGAGGTACAGGTAGTATCAACAACCAGATAGGCATATGCCTCCCAGAGATGCGCGGGGCATTGATTTTCCATGCCCCGCGGGGCCCGCCCCGTAAAATTCACAAACCCGTCCCGTCCGAACCTCGTGGATATTCTTTCTGAGAATCCCCGCTCCGCCTGTGCCCCGGCAAATCTATACCCGTTCCGCCCGTACCCCGCACAGGCAGCTTCTTGGACCGGCCCGCCCGACCCGCCATTTTTGTGACGGGCCCCGACCCGTCCTCGTGTAGCCCGAAGAAATTTTTTATTTACCAAATACTTTATTTTTAATGGTGCATTCCTTTTATGAATAATCGTTTTTTACAAAAACAAAACTCAAGTCTATATGAGATGGTTTGGAATGATTCACTTTGTGATAGTCGACAAAAACGTATTTTTCTGGTTGTTCTTTTAAAAACATTTTTATATTTGACGAATTACATTTAATATTACTCGATGAGCAATGACTGAGAGATGAAGAAATAATTGTAGATGAACGATTAGTATTCGACGAAGCTGTCCTATCAAGTGATTCATCAGGAGATATATCATGTAATTCGATCATACCTAGGTCTGACCAAAAGTTCTGGCAACATTATATAAAAATATAAAGATAAGGAGATATTTTTAATTTTATTTTATCAAATGTTGAGGATAGTTGCCATTATTATTTATACCAAGTTCAATCCTTTCTAACAATTTGTTAAAAGTTTTTTTCGAAAAAATTTTTAGATATCTTAGATATCGCATGAGCTTATCCTGTTTCATTTATTTAATCAGTTAAACTACATTTAATAGAATTAGTTAGCGAAAAGTCACATAGTATCAGGCCTGGCGAATATGATAGATATGATATTATATTGATGCCTTCTTCTGTCATGCAATTAATAACATTAGATGAGTATGAGGTCAACGATGCCTGTCAAACAATTTTGTACATTTTGAACCTGATGTCTCTGTTTGTTTCTATATTTCATTATTAAAATGTTTTGGAGAGTTTTCAGCATAATACTTGTGACTTACAGTCTTGCCTTTATCTACATTCAGGAGTATTTGATTTAAAGAATATACCAAACAAAGCATTTTCTGAAATCTTCATTCATGAACAATAGTCTTTGACGATGCATCTTCAATAAGCCAGCCAGCATCGGATAACTTATGACTAACGTATCTAAAATGAGTCTATATCTCATCACTAGCAGTATTAGAATGCAACTGATATGATCGAACAACATTTTGCTAACTTTTCACAATAAATGAAATATGATTAGCTCATGCGGTATCCATGATACCTAAAAATTTTTTCGAAAAAACTTCAAAAAACTTTTAACTAATCGTTGGAAAGGATCAAACTTGGTATAAATAATCATGGCAACTGTCCTCAAAATTTGATAAAATAAAATTAAAGATACCTCCTTATCTTTATATTTTTATATAATGTTGTCAGAACTTTTGGTCAGACCTAAGTAGTAATTCGCAAAAAAATTCAAACGATAATTCTAAATATAAAATAAGTTTTAGTCCAGTTATTCACTTAATATAAATTGATAGTAGAAGTTGCGTACGACAGACGATAAAGAAAGAAACAAACAAATGGTAGACAATCTTGTACATAATAGGATGAAAGTAATGAACCAATCAATATGTACTTTGTACTACATACTTATACTAAGGACATCCCGTGATAAGTTTTGACGATCTTTCGTCACACCCGAAAAAAATGTTTATCCGCCCGAACCCGTGTATTTCATACCCGCTCCGCCCGAGACCCGTGTCATTTAAAAAAATTATTCCCCGCCCCGCCCGCCCGTGTGCCGGAAAATACCCGCGCCCCGTTAATCCCGCGTTTAATTAAATTTTTCTTCCCCGCCCGCCCGTCGCCACGTGGCCCCGCGGGACCCGCGGGGTGAACCCCGTGGACCGCACATCTCTGATGCCTCCTACTCTCTAGATAATCATGCTTTTCTTTCTTGATCAGTTTCCGATCGAAATGTTCCATATAACCATTGATTATTTATGGACTCATTAAATTCTATAATCGTTTCATAACATGAATGGCTATTTAGATAATGTTATATTAAACTATAATAATTATTCAATTAAGTCCGAATCGGTACTTAAATCTCATTTTGATCTTGTGTGTCGTTATTTGGTTCGACCAAGTGATCTCGATAATTCTGTCAGATAAAATGGAAACACCGAATCAATCGGATTTGTTGCGATTGTTCTTTTTAATCGAACAGTTTAGTTGTTTGAGGCTATGGGTATGGATATTTCCTTTCTCCACATCCACATTGACACCCATTTCTACTAGTTTTTTTTATATTGTCTGATGAAGTCTTCATATTCTTTTCTGATCTATCAAAACAAATAAAGACATAGTTTTATCGCGAAATGAAAGTCAATATATATCACAAGTTAATATGCAGTTTACATGTAGTCTATTTTATGGAGGTAGATATTAGGTGTAATCTTCGTTCTCCTTCTCCTTTATTCAAAATCTAATGATACCTATATCTAGGCATAACGAAGGGAAAGATCCATAGGTTGGAAAATCCCATAGATGATGAATAACAAGAAGTCCAACGAAGAGAATGAAAGAAATAATCCATGAACGAGAATAATATATAAGTTTACGAAAGAAAGAGAACAATAAAAGCAGTAAAGCGAAGAATATATACCACTACCTAACGGTAGAACTAAATACTGGGAGTAGGATTCTGAACGAATGAGCTCGTATTGAAGAAAACTGTCGTTGTCTGGTCGTTTATGTCGAATATTTTTGGCATCCAAGTATTGGCAGCCAAAAAGATGACCAAAAAGCCAACAAGATTCATTACTATGCCAGTTTTGATCTAGAGATTTTCAATCGAGTTGAATATGCGATTGAAAACAATATCAAACTTACCATATCGATGACTCGAAGTGCACCGCTAGCAAAAACGATGGAATTTGGTGGTGTAGCTGTATGAAATAAAGACTGAACATTGTCTTATAGCATCTCATGTCAATACTCACCTATGGGCAACATAAATGCAAGAGAGACAGCCAATGTGCATGGAAGGAGGAGAAAAGCTGGATGTATGCCAGACGAAGTTGCCTATCATTTAAATATAGTGTGCGAATAGAAAAAATTTAATATCAATGCCCTCAACTAGGTTAAAAAAGGCTAATATTTTGGTATTTGAAAAAAACTGGCTCTGATACGCATAGTTTTTGATAGAAAATATATTTTAATTTCAAAGTCCACATTAATTTGGCAGGAATAAGTGAGTATGTCACCTACCACAGAATTGAGTACGGGGAAAAAGATGGTTGCCGTGCTTGTATTCGATGTCACTTCGGTGAAGAAGCCGCTAATCACAACTATGATCATAATAGCAGCAGCTCGCGGTATATGGGACACAAAACCAAGGGCTTGCGCCACACTATCCGATAATTTTGATTTCTTAAAATTCAATGGCATATGCATATTATACGATTGTCTTTACTTCAACGTACTTGAAACGCAGAGGCTAACGCAAGACCAGCACCAAGTAGGATTAGTGCACCCCATGAAACATGATGTGCCAAATCATTCCATTTGACAATTGGCTCGTATTTCCAATCATGTCGTCCTTACGAAGGAAAGCATTCATCAGTATACATATATTTTAATTAACAACCGTAAAAATATCCTACGATTAAATGGATTGCTGGCTGGTAAAATTAATGGAAGTATTCCACAGAAAATAGCTACAGTACCATCACTAATGTGTCTAGACAAAAAAAAATCATGGTCTTCTTAAATTTGATTTTCTTTGCAAAAAGAATGAGGTACATACTTACGCTGAAATATCATACTCCATCCTGTTCTACTGGAAAACTCTCTTGTTATCCATAGAACAATCAACAGAACGAATATACCAGCTACTACGAGTTCACTCCATCTAAAAAGTAGAATAGAAACATGTGTACGTAGAAACTCTTCTTTTTTTTCGAATGATTCACTTTGGTCGTCCAAGATCTTTATACTGTTTCGTTAATATTGCCTTCAATTTAATCTGAGCTTTGTGTCTTTCAGCAGAATAGTGACATTGAAAGAGTCTATAAATAATAAGATGAGTCAATGTTTTTTTTTTCAATCAGACAGAATATACAATATCACAAATTATAGACACGTACTCTTTTTTGTTATAGCACAGCTGTAACCATATCCAACAGACTACAAGCATTAATATTCCAGTCGGTAGAGCAAAGAGTAGAAAATTGAGGAAGTTTACGCGAAAACCAGTACCATTGTATTCACTATGTTACATGAAGCATAATCAATTATTATTTCGATTCTCTTGATTTACCTGTCTACGAAACCTTTGAGATAAATATTGGGTGCAGTACCAACTAAACTGGATAGTCCGCCAATAGATGATGAATAGGCTATGGCAAGAAGAAACCCTAGATAGAAATGTGCATCGAAGTAGAGACAACACACTAAGTCAGGAGTTAGGAAGAGAATCACCTTTCTTCAGTTCATCATGTTGTTTCTTGTACGTATTGCTATGTTCAACTTTTTGTCGTTTACAGCATAGTAATTTCAAGCGAGTATTTACTACTACAGATGTCTCTGGTTTTCTATGAACAGAAAAGAAAGCCATACATTACGAGAATGTTTAATTTCGTATATCTACACTAGTTCGATGTTTTGAGTAGTATGAGCGATCTGGCCAGTTTTATTTTCATCAGGTCCTTCCGTATTTGTGGAATCAAATGCACCTAAACACGGTTACATACAAAGAGAACGATAAATAACTATTGAGTGTCCTACTACCATTTATATTAACTGTTGTCTGTATATTGTCTTGTTGGCTATCGAGAGAATTTTCGCTGAAAACATCGAGTTCATGAACAATAGCTAATACTACAGGCAACATAATTGATGTCGATGCAGTATTGTTCATCCACATTGAAAGAAACGCCGTTGTTCCCATCATACCAGCCATGATCCTAATTATTCATTAGAAGAATTCAATATCTAAGGGTCGAGTGAACTTGAAAAATTCGAGAATAAGAAATCAACAGAATATGAAAAATATAGTTTGCTTTTAGGAACAGTCTCCGAAACCTGTCAGTTGATCATCGCTGAATGAATTAATCAAACTATCCTATACCATTTAGGTGTCGTGCCAACCCAACTCAATACCAATAGAGCAATACGATGATGAAGGTTGACCGTTTCGACAGCACAACCAAATGCCAAACTACCAAAAAAAAGCACAATGATGTCATTGAAATAGTGAGGTGCCACGTTCTCCGCAGTTAGAACACCAGCCTAGAGGAAAAATGCCAATATTGCAAATCGATTAAGATATTCTGCTTTTATGAAACATGACTTTTAGTGAGTTACTGCTGTTCAGCCCTAAACAACATGGAAAACATCTCGACATGATACTTTGAAAGTACTGTTAAAGACTCAGATAGATTAAGCAAGATTTCTTCATTACAATTAAAATAATATAATCCTGTTTCACATTTAAATACTAGCTATAAAGATTTTGCTGAACACGTTTAGTTTACCATCGGAAAGAGGATAAGTGGTAATAATGAAGTAACTGCTAAAGGTATTGCTTCCGAAATCCAGTACACAGAGAGAATGACCACAATATAACCACATCGCCCTTGCTATAAAAAAAAAAGCAGAAGTGTAGACATAGTTTAGGTTGAATAACACACACTAATTAACATACGGAATTATTGATAATAATAGGTAGTGGAAGTAGGATCAATGGTGTTAGAATAATTAATAGCAAACGCCAGCGTTGCTTTAACCAAGTTACTACTGACATGGTCATCACCTATTCAATTACCAGAAAGTATATATTATCAATCGTTTTAATTAAATCTGTGTGTCTGGATGACAACTTCTTTTCTATACTAGATTAAGACAATAATTTATACAGAGTTTTTGCGACAGCAACGACATCGTTATTATTCGTCTCTTGTAGGCATGTTGTCGTATAGGCGAGGTATAATAACTTTTATCTCTTGATTTTGTCTTTATTTGCACGCACAAAGATTGCATTGATTGATCTTTGCTTTGAGTATACCATTTTCTCTTGTGTCAATACCAATCTACTGTCGTAATTTTCGATGTTAATCTAATAGCTAATCCAGAAGCAGTGTTTTGTTAACATTTCTACTATTATTAAAAGAGAAAAGGTCGAACAAGTTCTGTTCTAACGGATTTGATGCATTGATAGTGTCGCTCAAAATTTAAGAAACGAAAAGTATTTGATAAAAACATGACCTGCAACACGTAAATATATCTTTTTGAATAGTTGATTTCTACCATTCTAAAGAAGAGTCAGGACAGTGAGATTGACGTCAACGCACAATAATCGATGCCAATAAAAGAGAATGACTGATACAATGAGATATACTTACAATTCGTATTAATGATGATTTTAAAGACTCCTATTCAAAGCTTAGCTATCATTCGTCATATTTTTAACTTAGATTTGATCTTTTCGAGACAACGATACTATTTTTTCTATCTTCTTGACATTATAAAGCTTATATCCAGTTAATAATTTATGCTTTGAAAAGTATCAAAAAAATTCTTCACATCTTCTGATTACCATACTGAGTCTTCCATAAGCTAGATAACTACACAGTGAAAGAAATCATTGACACAGAATTATGAATTTACATGAGATCGGTCGCATGCTATTGACTATCAATTGATGATTGATTGAATAAGGAAAAAGAAAATGATATTCTATATTTATGACAACAATGCATATGTTGACGAAGCACAACGTCATAAAATATATGTAAATTGACATTTGATTCTTCCATCGGGCACAGCAAAGTAGCAATGCTAAGAAATGACCAAGTATATCCAAGATAACGAAAGGAACCGTATACTTACGATAAATCCGCTGAGATATATGGTTCAATCGGACAAATTCGTCAAGATTGACTGATAGAGTGGTGTTAATCGACATCTTTATTCAGCAAAAGAAAAAGTGCTTTTTTCGATAATTTTCTAGATAAAAAAAAATAATCATATGAAAGTGTTACGTCATTTAATAACACGAGCATCAATAGACTTTCGTATGACTGTCTTCAACGATCTAGATGTGATAACTATATGAAAGTGTTATTTATAGTCAGAGAATATATAGATGTTCTAATGATGTCAGCAAACGACACCTTGAAAAGCTGAATATTGACATTCGCAAAAACCAGTTCACTAGAAATTCCATATAAATATTTCGAACTAAAAGAATTACTTTGATTGTTCATTTTGCCTATATACAAAAGATTGTATTTAATTATCTTTATCAGTTTTCGTACAAAATGTGTTGTCATTTTTGTTTTGAGTATTTAAGCTGGGGTTTATGATAGAAATTCTATTGCATTGAAGCAGAGGTGACCCGACTCCTCAAACTTTGAGGAGTTCTAAAAACAATTTGTCGAATGCAGCGCATCTAAAATAATAACAGGTTTCTACTTGTTTATTCTGTTTATTTCTCTGCGCATCATTACAGTTCTGTTAATATTATCGCATACAGGAAGCACATATTAAAAGAGAAGATATGCATATTGGAATGTAAGGATGAAAAAGTGAACTAGCAGAAAAAAGATGCACAGAGAAGTTCCACGATAATTAGGATTAACAGATGGAATCATAGTTTTTACAACAGAGTTTGTGTTATTTTTTTTCACTATTTGCGGTGCAAAATGTTCGACCCATGACACTTTATAGAATGAAAACAACTCGATTTTATCTTCCAATCTTTTGAAGAAGAAAATTGGCTTAATATCAAATTCAAAGACGTTTATCAATGCTTCTGACGACGAAAGTATTCAAGCTAGCGACTATTAATCAAAACCATACTTTTTAGAACGCACAGCGAATTAGAATTTTTCAGAATAAATTTTTAGTCTATCAAAACTGACTACATTTATGCAACTAGTACTATTTCGTGAAGCGGAAATTTTTTGCAGATTAATCAGAAACTTTTGTTTTTCTGTATTGCTTCCAACTCTTCTTCAGACGACACATACCCTATATATTGATTGGATAGACATTGCACTGCACGTGAGTGATGGTATGTGCATAATCTGAAGAAGTATCTTATTTCTTCTCGGAAACTAAAGGATCGTCAAAAACAAGTTATGATATTTATTAACAAATTTTGCCGTCGAAAGTGGCCACTCTCGCGACTACTGTTCAGTAACGAAGCGTCTTACCCGTAAAAGACATTTCAACGTATCTCCAAAACTAAAGACCAGATATTTTTTGCGCCAGCTACGACTGTACAGCTGTTACTTTTTCGCGAAGTGAAAAGGTTTTGATTTTTTTTTATAATTAGTATGTTCGGGAAAAACATAATTTAGTTTTCTATTTTAGGGGAAAATATTGTAAAATCCCTACTGCGTGTTTGTTTTTGGACCTATTAACTGGCAAAAATAGGAACATTTTCAATAATTGGGAGGTTGTCACAAGTTCAACAACCCACAATCGGGCCAACCCTGAATCTGAGACTGGAGCGTTTTTTTGGCACATACCTACCTTTTGATCTAGTTGGTTGAAAGCGACATTATCAAATACAGAAAGAAAAGGATTATCAACGTCAATTGACAGATTATGCAGTCGGTCACTGTCTTGCTGTTATTAAACTGTCTGATGATATTCGTCATCAATACAATGTCCTTACACCTCATTCATCATATATCGTTGATGATCAATTAAATAGTTCGATTTTTGATCATCATCATCATCATTATCAATCAAAAGAACGATTGTGAACTTATCTCGAATGCCCAACTTCTCCATAACACTAGCACTATTGTTAACTTTTCCATTTCGAAGTCATTGACTATTGGTCAACTGGAAGTGAAAGAAGAACAACTCGCGCATGTTGTTCCAAAAAAAGAAATGATTACAAGAAGAAATTGTTCATGGCTTACTTTTTTAAAATTCAACAGGTTAAAGAAGTATTAGATAACCTTTATATTCGATGTCGTCATGGTTATATCCATCGACATTATCAATGACACATTGATACTCATTCATTCGAAGATCAAACTCGATATGATCATCTAATCGACAACCAATATTTCACAAAAATCATTATGATCAAGAATTTCGATGTACATCGCTCTCATCACATCGTGATACCATCACAATACAGTCTTAAAGTAATATCTATCAACATATCTTCAAGTAGAATGATTTTGTTTTCTCAATTTTTTTCTCTCTGCTCTCTCTCTCTCTCGTCTGTGATTGACTAAGTATTAAGAAGATGCTTTTGCATATAAATATCTCAGAGAAAAATACCTATTTATGTAGGAAACTGCTAGGAAAGGTGTTTCTAGGTGAAAGAGATTCTACTAATGAAAAAAGATCATTTTTTTGCCGAAAAATCCTATGCGACAAGGCTGTTCTGAGAACACAAATGCAGTATTCGACAGATACATCGTTGAGCTGGATAATATGCGTATATGTTTATTTTTATTCGGGTATGACATCTAAAGCTCTACTTAAACAAACGAAGCATCTTTTTATCAAATTAATATGTTTGGATTTCTATGAAACTGATCTTCTTTGATGTCCAATTAACCCCATCGCACTTTCCAGTGATACGAACCACTTTCTATGCGGATGCTCATTGCGCCGTCAACTGTCGAGTCAGGCCGTAGCCATACAATACCACTAATGTTTGTCTCAAGCACTGATGAGAATCGATGCCAGATTAATATGCCACTTTCTTCAATCGATATACAATGAGCTGTTGGTTCGATAGGCTCGAATATGATAATAGAATGAAACGAGTTAGGTATGGTCACATTGTAGGTGACTGTATTGTCACCACTGTGTCGTTGCCATGAAACAAGAATCAGTCCATTGATTGTGTGTACTTCCGCATCCACATTTATCAATAGCCGAGTCATTCGTGGATGAATGATAAGATTGTCGGCTAATCCATTCAGTTGCACTCCGGCCAAGTATCGATAGAACCAAGCACCAATACCATTAAACATATGGTGGTTTAGACTGTCCGTACCACCAAAACCTTTTAATAAAGCATGAAATGTTTCCCAGTTTGTTGTGGCATTCTGTACGTCATTATTGAACATGAAACCGAAGGATGGGTACGTTGTTTGAGTTGCCACGGTCACTGCTAAATCATGATAACCGGCGTCAGACAAAACTGGAAATAGTGCAGCCGTACCAATAATACCAGTTGTCAAATGATTGTCATTAGCAGCAATGTTATCGACAAGAGCTTTGATGACCGAGGCACGCAGATCTGAAGGTACAACATTGGGTAGTTTCAACGCTAGCACATTCGCCGTTTGATATCCTTCTGCATATCCATTGACGAGCGGATTGTAAAATGTTTCATGGAATTCTATCGCCAACTGATCATACAATTTACTGTATTTGGCAACATTAGTCTGATTATTTAGTATTTTTGACAGAATTATCATTATTTGTACGTCACTCAGATATGAAAATGCAGATACTAATGAACTATTCGTCACAGGATAATTAGCCGGTGTTTCCCAATCACCATAAGCAAAATACATATTTGCCAAATCACTTTGCTGTGCACGACTGGTCAAATAATCTACCCATGCTTGAATTCCAGCGTAGTGTTGTTTTACAATGGCTGTATCATTGTAATGCTGGTAGATACGCCAAGTAATTTCTGGATAAGCATGTGCCCATGAGGGATCTGCTACATATCCACCGACGGAGTATGGTGCTGTATCAGGTATCGATCCATCTTCATGCTGAACATCTGCAATATTTCGTAGAAAATTCACATATAATCCATACAAATCAAAGTTGAATAATGCAGCATCAACTGACAGAGCTGCATCACCAAGCCATCCTCTTCGCTCCTGTCGTTGACTACAGTCTGTTAGAATCGACATTATATTGCTCAGTTGTGACCACAAAATATTGTGTTGAATTTGACTGAGTACGAGTGATGATGAAGTAAAATTACCGATTAGAGTTGTTTCACTGTGTATTGCCGCGCAAACGACTGACTCGATATTAATATAATTAGCATATACTGAGATATAACGGAAGCCATGATAAGTGAACAGAGGTGTCAGTATTTCATGTGGATTACCTTGAATGATAAAATCATCGGACGCAGAAATAATTTGATAATTGGCCGAGTTAAGTCCTTGATACTTAATTCCATCTACACCTGGTTTATTTAGTAATTCCGCATGTCGTGTTGATACAGTCATTCCTTTTCTACCTGTAATTGTCAACGTGCAGTAGCCAGCAATATTTTGTGAAATATCATATGTCGGAACTTGTTGACTCGCTAAAGGCGTAGCGTTAAACACACCGCCATCCATTACATTTGAGGCTTTTCAATAATTACGTTAGTGAAAAATTGGATTCCTTTTGACACCCGTCAGCATCATTTTACCAAACAAAACCACGAAATGTGTCGGTTCACTGTTCCTACTACGTAGAGAATTGTCACTGAGAGATATAAGAGATGTCCACGAAAAAAAAAAAGATGAAATAATGGGGCGAAACTTGTTTCAGACGTCATTAATACTGCATAGAATTATTTCAAGAAAGCTTCAATCTTAGTTATCTTCGCTAGTATAAGCAAAATATTTTATCGATTTCTTTTTGTCTCTTCGAATTGCTAGTAGTATAATCGATCACTCTGCTGCTATATTTAGTAATGTAATTCTCGAATAGATTTTTACCGCCAACAACACCTGGCGGCATTGGCTTGTAGCCAGTTCGTGAAGCTGATGTAGCAATGTGCAGGGCATATGGGCTAATTCGTATTGGATTCATGGACTGATAAGTTAATTGGCCGGTTGGTGAAGTCAATGGCGATTCGATTAGAGATGCATTTAGCCATAAACTGTAAGGATCAGTAAAACCAGCAGTTGACCAGTTGTATCGTTCAGCGCGAGTATCATAAATAGTTCCCATATACACATTATCTTTACGATGGGCGCCTTCGCGACCAAGCCATGTTGTATCGGACGTAATATTCATCGTTGTATAATCGCTAAGTATAATATTGACTTGTAAGAGCAGTCTTGGCGGTGGACCAAATACTTCTGGTGCTGGTGCAGGAACTCCTCCACCCCATTGTTCGTTCGTATAAAATCCAAGTCCTAACTGTACACCAATGCAGTTAGTGGAATGACCTTTCAGAAATTGAGTAATATCATATGAAACGTACAAAACACGTTGCGTATATGTAGTCCATCCAGGATCTAGACGACGTGAAGGATCAACGTTTATACCGTTAACATATAATATACCGTATCCCATTCCACTCATAAATACGGCAGCAGATAATATGCCTTGTGGAATATAAAATTCACGCCGCAACTCATTCATGTTAATTAGGCGCGAACCTATCCAATTGGCCGTTAATTCATTTTTCGGATGAAATAAAGCGGTTCGAAATCGACCACTTACTGGTTTACTGACTGCACCAGTTGATGACCAGTATTGAATGGAATATATGTACCGTGCGTCAGATATTAAAGCTGGACCACTGTATAAAACATTTGCGGATATGGATGATATGACGCGTCCTGAGTCATAGATGACTAAAGATTTCTGTGTCGAAGAATAGAAACTGATTTCCCTAACAATGGTCAACCGATAAGCTGTCTGGTGGATGCCACGTCGTGAAGTGCCATTGCAAGAATACTTTTCATCGTCGATCGACCAGGAAAAAATCGGTGTCTCAACAACGATATCAGGATGAGTGTCTACATCGTGATGGTCGATGCGAACATGGCGTGGTTGTAGTGCGGAACATGTCTGTTTCACGTGAATGAAACTCGGTAGGAGTAGAATACAGAATGTCGGCAGGAGAAACGAGACAATGAACATAATAACGACGATCAAAAAAAGTCCTTTGCAACATTTTAAAATCTTATATTGCTAGATTTATGAATCTAATCTTCGAACTTCTACGATGGCTCACGAGAAAATGAAACGTGAACAGAAAACTAATATTTAAAAAATGAAACTACTAAGTTTCCTGAAAAGTATTGAATTCAGTTACAAAAACAAAAATTCTCTGAAGATATATCTTAGTAAGTGATGAGAAATACTAGTGATTTTCATCAATTGAAGTTGAGAAAAACTGAAGTGTTTTTTTTATTATATTTTCTTTTCTAGACCTATATATCAGTTTTGTAAGCATAAATTTCATAGTTGAAAAGAATCTTAAATAGGCCTACCATGTATTGAAGTTTTCTTTTATGAAACATGATTGGTTATGAGTGTCGAATAATATAGCGATAAGAGTGAATCGCTCGCCAAACAGATTCTGGCGTATAATATGGTGGACATTGGCGCGGCTCTTATTTACAAGTAGAACGGATCTATCATGTTTCACATTTTAATCCTCTACGGATTACGATGAAAGCTTTCTTCATAAGACTGACTTCAGTCTAACAGGATGGTAACAAAACGAGTTTGCAGCATTACGACATCCATCTGAACTGCCAGTGACACGGTTTGTGCAATCAGAAGAGAGTTTTCTAAAGGTATCGATTGGCTTAAGAGAAACTGTAAAGTATACTACTTATTAGCGTAATCAGCGCTACAAAACAAACTACTGAGAACTGTTCCTATCCGAGTCGTGACAGAGTGGTAATGTATGATCCGTGAAACGTTTCCATGTTAATAAACTACCTTATCGCTTGCTCTTTTCTTTTACAACACAGCGCTTTTCTACTAGCAACTCATTTATGAAATGACTATAACATCCATGCCTACAGTGAAAATTAAAATCTTAAAGTCGAGACCTACTATGGAATCAAAACTAATAGAAAACTATTTTTTAGCAAAGTACTCGTCAAAATCGACTGAATTTCTACAAGTACTTTTAATGGAGTCCTCTTGTTCTAACCACACTACTTGAGTCATATTCATTCACTCTCCTAGCGCCTGCTTGCTCATTCGATGTTCATCAATGCTACCTGTGATTTCATTATCTGACTTACTAAAAAATAAATAAAATGCCCGACATTCGATAGATAACTTTACAACAACATTGTCCTGAAAGCAATATAAAATAGCTGTTGCCTCCTAGCTTAATTCATTAGACAAAATCTAGACACTATGTACGATTGTCAAGAGCGAACTGTTTTGTAAAATGGTTTACAACTATAGAAGGTGATGTATATGGTGCGTACCTTCTGTCTACTTGGTCAAGAAGCGAAGAATGAGAGAAGTCATCATCTATACTGAGAAAAAAGGTTGTTTTGTGATAGTAGAGGGGACGGGGGCATAGATAACCGTTTCATCGATGATGCTCTTGAGTAAGAAGACAATATGGACGACAACATGTGATGAAGCAGAAGAAGAAAAAAAATGTAATTTCAACAAAGACTCACTCTCCGTCTATGATATCTATGTGAGGCAGGATGGATGAAATGTGAGAATATTAGTAAAAACAACTATCCCTGGTTTTATCATTGTCAATAGTATTTATTAACCAGTTGTGTTCATATGTACTGAAAATGATCATTCCCGAAAGTTAGAACTTAGTCAGTTCATGCTTTTGTGTTGATCATATGATAGTTGTGGGAAATCAAAATGTCATCCTTGATATCCATCATATAATCGTTTATTTGCGCCAAAATCAGAAACTGCGTTGTTGCAAATTCCAAAATTACTCGAGAAATATTTTTGAAAAATGACTGAACTCAATAACAAAGTTTATCACTCAGAACTCTGGGTGAAATATGATTCATTTAAAGAGCAGAATTCAAGATCTTACTTCCTTTAATCAGTAATAAATGTTCAAGATAATCGTAATTATCTTCTAATTATTTTTGATTTCATTCAACTAATATAATCAAAAACTGATAGCTAATATTACAACGAATGATCTTTCAAAAACGTCCTTTTTTTTACTATGAATTCCATCGTTTACCAAAATTCCAAATTTCAGATACTAGTCATAGGTTGATAGCTTTAGTTTATTGCTATGAAATGTTTTTGCATCTGTTTGCCATGTTATTTGTTTGTTTTACCATTGGATTGCATTATGTATTTTTTTTGTTGAGTGACTATTCTGAATAATTTATTTTTATTAAGAATTAATTTATGGTTAATTCATAGATTGCGTTAATTTATAAGTGACCACATATTCATCTTGACAAAAGTCGAAATCAATAGAAGTGATTGTTTAATAGTTTCTTTTTGAGGGTGTGGATGTTTCTCCTCTTTGAACTCACATTCGCGCCTTCATTTAGTACAAGACGCTTTATTTAGAATTATTCACATTGTTCAGTGATAAAACCCAATGTATTTCTTTAGTTTTCAAAAGAGAAATATAGTATAGTGAAATTAGTTGTCCTAGATTTGCATTTTAGTAACTCCTATTGAGAACACCATATAGGAGGGAGTTTAGCACGAGGAAGTCTTTCTTAACAATGGTTTTAGTGAGAATATATGATTTTCCGTTATCAAGTACAAATTGTATAGAATCAGTAGATAATGAAAACACTATTTCTGTTAGTTCGTTTTTAATCTTTATGAATTTACGATGTGACGTTGATTATAGATGTCTTTTACATAGAATGAACAATCATAAACATCAATCTAACTGTGCAAGAAAGGCTTATTATAATCATAATTCAAATGGAAGCTACAAAGTAAGGTTTTAGTTTTCGATTGAAATTTGTAATGCTTTTAATACTGTTGGTATCATCATATAGAAACTTTCTATCAAAATTGATTGTAAATATTCAGTTTCTGCAAAAATGTTTTTTTTAAATTGTTTATCGAATTCTTCACTGATCATTCCTTCTTTTTGAATTAATGATTCCATTAATTCAAGTGCCACTTTTTCTTTTTCATCAAACAGAATTTTTTTGCATATTCTTTAATTGAATCAATCTTTTCTATTGATATATCACATTCTTTTGCCATTTGTTCATGTGTAAACCATTCATATTGTGAATTACAAAGATGTGTACTTCGAAGAATCATTAATTCACGAAGTTGCTATGAATGTTGTACAATTACGTCGCAATGAATAAGCAAAATCAATCCAAGGTGAAAGAAGTGTTGGATTATTTGATAAGATTTTATAAAGATTAAGATCAGGTTTTCCATCAAGATCAACAATTTTTTGTTAAAGTTCAAAAGAAACATCTTTTAATGGCAATCTTGCTTGACGATTATTGTTTCCTTCCAACATTATTTTTTATTATTATCTAGAAAGAAAAAAAATACTTCAATTCCTCTTAACAGCTACTAGTGCTAAAAAAAAACAAAGTTTGAACTAAAAGCTTTCAATGCGCAGATGTTGTATAGTAAAATGATTGGCAAGAAACCAACATTAAATAAAATATGACCTCATTCGTATCGCTTCAAAATAACAACAAAAAGAACAGTTGCACACGTTTCATGCAACACAGACTAAAGAAAGGAAAAAAATCTACGTTTTTGATCTACCATAAATAGTTATACTCGTCTTTCTTTTTCTATAAATCAAAAAAGTGCTGATGAAAAGATACTAAAATTATATGAAGAGTTGTTCGATAATTTATGTATCATTGACTTGTGCAAAAAGTTAGATAAGTTATTCAAACAAAATTTAGAGCAAACATGAAAACCTCCATTAAACTTGTTAAATATATATATATATATATTACGATGCAGCTCTATCAAATCTCGATGTAAACTTGTATGAATTCGCTTCTTTTTCTTTTTTACAACTTAACTGCAATCAGCTTTCATCTTGTGTTCTTAAGTATGATACTATTGTCATGTTGATTTAACTACTGTTTGCATTTACGTTCTGTTATTCTAAATAACGTTTTGCATGCATCGTCAAGCGACACATGATGTTAATGCTGATTTATTCTACGCAAAAAAAATCGGATTGATTCAAGGAAGAGTATTGTTACATTCATCTTTTTTACTTAACAATAAAACCTATGACGTATCAGTTAAAAAAAGAGCATTTAACTAATTGGGATGCACCAAAATCCAATGAAAAACCATTATTTAATGATGATCAAAGTACTTACATATCAGAAAAGTCTTCTCTTGTATCATTACGTGAAAATAATCAAACATCTATTCCAAATAATAAACAATTATTAACATCACCATTACCACGTACCAATCTACCAATAAAGGAACCTCATACTCTTCGATATCCTTATAATGATTTACCAGAAAACGGTATACCACTTGCAACTCAATTTAATAATGCACGAAAGGAAGAAAAAAAAAGAAGAAAAGCTTTTCGTAAAGCACCACCAGGTCAAGGAAATCTCGTTTCATTACCTGAAACAAAATCCAATGCAATGAATGAGAACTATTATCCTTATTGGCATTATTATAAAATGAAAAATCCTGATTGGAACATGCGTCATCGTCAAACTACTGATGGTCAACTTATACCTTATGACCCAATTGATCCTTCACAATATGCTCAAGAGCCTGCATTAACAAAGTCACCAACTACACCACGTCAACATCATCGAAAGTCTCATCATAATAACCATGGCACATCTATCATGAAAAATAATCCAGATCAACAACGTTATGAACCAGTTCCGAAAGTATCATCATCATCACCTCCAGTATCGCATGAAAATTATAAACAACAAAAATCATTGCCTAAACAACATACACTTTTGGACGATGCTGATAATATAGAACGTTTGAATCGGCCCAGTAAACAAAGAAGTTTGCAACAACATCAAAAACTTAAGACTGAAAACGATAGGAATGATCATTCTGTTCAATCTATGACAGAGAAACCATCGCAAGATTCAAATAACCTAACTATGACTTTTGATGCTTCAACACATCGATCAAAACATCATTCCAAAACAATCAATAACGATTCCACTGGCGAAAATAAAAAACATCGTCATGTTCATCATCATCGCCGTCACCATCATCATCATCATTCTCCTACTCAATCTCAGCAACCTCATCATCATC